ATGTCATCAAGCACCGCTTTGCCAGACCATACTGTCAGAATTATGGATAGCTGCCAAATTTTGTACTTGTATTAGCAATTAAGTGAATGAAATTGGATAGCGAAGGTTATTCAAACATGTACAAATCACTCTAAATACAACTATGAGTGGGTATGAGGAGGGAAAACTATTTGAACATGAAAATCAAGGTGGAAATCAAGGTGGAAAAAAGTTGTATAAATTGCGTTAAGATTATTTGCCTGTATGTTCACTGACATTTCTTTAAGCTGTTTTGCCAATTTGCTGTGAAAGAACAAAACCTGAGTATAAGGATCAATTAATTCTTAAATTCTTAATTCTCTGAGGTCCGAGGGCCAGCTCCAGCTCATGGTGCCTAAAACGAGGCTTAAAACCAGGGGGGACAGGGCCCGAATAGCCCCCACAGTGGAGTGTTTTAAGTCTCGTCTCAAGACCCACTTTTATTCTCTGACTTTTAATACTGAGTGAGTTGTGTGGTTCTCTGTGTCTTTTATTTATTTATTTATTTAAGTTATTTATTTATTTATTGTTTTTATCTATTTATTTTTATCAGTAATGCTTTTATGTATTGATTTTATTACTTTTGTTCATGGATTATATTATTATTATTTTATTTATTGATTCTAATAGTTTCCTCATGGTTGAAATATAATTCTGCAGATTATTTTTTTTTAAGTAACATGTTTTACATTGCCATGTGAAGCACTTTGGAAACTGTCTTGTTCATAAAATGTGCTATACAAATAAAGTTGGATTGGATTGGGATTGGATTGGATTAAACAAACTTGTAAACCCTTGTCAGTCTCCATCAAAAGCATTTCTTCTTCATTCATATAGACTGTATTTATAAACGGACTTAGGAAGTGTTCATGGGGCTTCCGGCTCCATCGACTCTGGGTCCAATTGACTTTACATTGTCACTTCTCTCTCTGTAACAGTGAGCCTTTTCATTTTGTTCTTAAAATGTTTGTAACCCCCTCTTTGCATGATCCTGTGTTTTAATTTTTCAGTTTGTCTATGAATAAATTCCTATTCTAAATTTGGAATTCAGCTCCTCATCACTACTATCACTGCGAGCCTCTTGAGCTTCATTTGACTGTCACACATCCTTAGTCCACTTCTTTATACAGACTGTGTTCATTCATAAAATGTATTATTCCATTTACTGGTTGTAAGCGTGCAGAATTACATGGAAAGCTAGTAGGACTATCTGTAATGAGTATAGCACGTGTTGGGGTCACTGGAGAGGCTGTGGTCCAGGCGGCTCATGTGGTCATTGAGTCATCGTGTGTCTCTGTGATGGTTTACCCCTGAAGGAAAAAGTGCCTATTGACATCATGAATAGACTTGGTAAAACCCAGTCATGGTGAGGTGGTTATGGGTCCGGGCTCAGTTTACAGACATGTATAATGGTTTAAATATCCACCCAATGCACTTAACTCACTTAGGGGTAATTAACAGAGGAAACTTCATTTAAGAACACAACTCAATGGGAATGTTGTTAAAAGATCTTAATAAAGGCTTTTATGAGGCCAGAGTTATACTGGATTTGCTCAGGCAGTGTGTTCATAACTTCTGATTAAAAATGAGAAAATCTATTCATAGTTTTTATTATGACTTGGCTCTTTTGAATGGTTCTTTAAAGTGAATGATTGGAACCAGATCTTATTTTTTAAAAGAACCAAATCTTTTCTTTCTAATTTGTATGCACTTTTATCCCAATTAACCCTGAATCATACACTGTATATATTACTTCACAGTCTATGCCTGAACCAACACAAAACTAAGCACAGAAGCAGAGTGACCTTTGTGCATAAAATGTATATGTGGCATCATAATAACAGTCTGTTTTTATATATTATTATTGTAGTGCAACGTTTTATTTAGATTATGCGTAATTTCAAAGTGTAAACACACTCCCACTCAGTTTGAACCATTTTAAACAGATCTGAGCTTTGGTCAATTCTCTCTGTGATTAGTTTGTAGATCAAATGAGTCCTCACATTGGCTTCTGCAATATAAATAAACATAAAAAGAGCCAGTCCTTTGAACGGCTCTTGGAAATGAACCGATCCAAAAGAGTCAGATCACACAAAGGAGGCAATAGTCCCATCACCAGTGTTCAAATGATCTGCAACCCTGGTAAAAGCTATCTCTGTACTACCTTTCTCTTTAGTCACCCAGTTAATTGAAAACATTCAGATCATATTATTACACAAGTCAAGAGTTAGCCTTAATGTTAAAGGTGTAGCCAGACCACTAGATCCACTAATAATGGCATATGAATATTATTAGACCACACTGACTATATTAGAATGGCATTTTATTATGGTTTCTTTCAAGTGGAGAATGGGAGGAGGATAGCAAACCTAAGCATGTAAAAAAACAAACATCTGGATGCCTAATACAGAACTTCACTTGGGTCAGCACTTTTTCCATGTCATTTAGGTCAGTATTACTGCTCAAAGATCCTGTTTTACATAAAATTGACTCTTGTGAGGTTTGAGCCATATTATAATGTTACCTCATCAAAAACATAACTGGAGATGTGTTTTGTTTCATTCATACATGTTTGAGAAATCCTGCATTACTAGTCTGTCTACATCTCCAAAGCTCAAAATGCTCTGTTCCACCTTGTGATGTCATGTAGTGGTAGTTGTTAACAGCTACCCTTTACCTTTTGTTCTGTAGAGATTGGCAATTCCAGGGCTGAAGTCATGTGAATGAAGCAAAACACAACTCCTGGTATGTTTTTGATGAAGAAACAACATTATAACATAGATCAGAAAACAGCATAATATGGGCTCTATTTAAAAAAAATTTAAAATGTGTGTAGCATAGGATGCATCTATCTCTGATGACTTGTTACCATGGTGACACCCACAAAAGGGAAAGGCTGGGGTCAGAAGAGGGGGTCAAAGGTCACACTGTTTATGAATGTTAACCTCAGCTGGATTGTGCTGTGTCAACAACTTTCATTAGGGTCAGGATGTCACCGTGAAGTAAAGGCGACAACATCACAAAACAAATGTATTTTACCATATGCACTGATCTGACGAAAGGCCTTTAGGCAAGACACTTCACCAATCTTGCCTTGTAATCAGTCATGGAAGCACGGTACTCAATTTTGTTACTTGAGTAAAAGTACACACACTGGAGAAAAAAAAAAAAAAAAACTCAAGTAAAAGTATCACATGAAAAAGCCTTAAGTGAAAGTATAAAACTACCTGCTTAAAAATGTACTTTAAGAGTAAACAGTATTGTGTCCAGATATTCAGATCTAACAAATATCCAAATCTAATGATTTTGATAAAGAATTGTGCTGAATTTTGATCAGCAGAAACTAGTGGAATAATGCTGATGAAAAATGTTTTTTCCTTATTGTTTTTCTTTGTATACTTTTATTTGCTCAGACAACATGTTAAAAATAAACCTGTAGACTTTTCAGCAGGTCTCACACAATAAAAAATACATTTACTTTTCAGTCCTGTTCAAAATGTAGTGGAGTAGAAAGTGCAGATACTTTAAAATCTACCAAAGTAAAGTACAGATACCTATTATTTTAATTTATTTATTTATTTATTTAGTTATTATTTTTTATTTTTTTTACTTTCCACCACTGCTAATGTGTTTTGCATATTAGTGATTGGTGGCATTCAGAGGGGCAATGGTGCAGATAGTCAGATTGGTGGTAAAAGTAGTAATTTACTATAATTCTCAACAGATTAATACAAATATAATAGGCTCAATTTAACCTCAGATGATCTCATCACATCTAATCATATCTCTTTACTGGTGGCAGGTCAATCCCTGAGACACCTGCAGCTGTTTTATGGCACATCTGAGGATTATCCCAACTCTTTGAGCTCTAAATCTCAGGTCCAATCTGCAGTGCTACAGTTACAGACATGCTGAAGGTCTTTGATGAGAACATATGAGACACAGATGGCGCTGTGTGTGATGTGGTACAGACTGGTTTAACAGTAGAAGGGTGGTGCAGGAAAAAATGAACTTTTTACAGTTTCCTGGTGATTCAAGCAGTTTCCTTCCCTGGTACAGTAAAAAACAATGAAGAGTATTTGTATTAGGCTCAACTGTAAAAATATATTTTGTGTTGGTCAAATGTACTGGAGACCCCTAGTGTTTTTGGTATTCTGGACTGTGAGAACAAATGCTTAAAGGTCCCATATTAAACTGTGTTCACAAACACCCAGAGTTGTTTTTTTGTTTCAAACAGAAAACATTCCGTTCCACCTTGTGATGTCATGTGGTAGTACAGGAAGTGCTCCACTGTGCTTTTAATCTCCATACACCTTTATTAGAATCATTTGGATGATTTCAGACCTGGAATTGTCTATCTCTACTGACCAAAAGGTGAAAGGTAGCAGTTAACATGAAAACTACCACTTCATGACATCACAACAGAGCATTTAGAGCTTTGGAGATGTAGAGAGACTAATAATAAAGCATTATGTATGAATGAATTATATATGAATGAAACAAAACACAACTCCAGGTATGTTTTTGAGGAGGTAACAACATTCTAATGTTGTTTAAAGCTCACTAGAGTTAATTTTGTGTCATATAGGACCTTTAAACTGTTTTAACCTCACTGTATATGACTTAATACAGCAGCTCATTGTCTTCCCAAGCATCAGCCTGTCCTGTCTCCTTTGCCAATTATCAAACCATGTTAATATATACAGAAATTCACTGGTAAAACAGATCAGAGTCAAAGGGTTACAGTAGGCCTCCTCTTTGTCTAACAGTGTTTTTAAAAGCTGAATTTATTTTAGTGCTATACTATATTATTCCATCACTAATGAGCAAATTCTCTCAACTAGGCTGTACTGAATACTATGTGTAGGTTATGCAATCAATCTTTGTGACACAATTTCAAAACAGACATCTGGTGTTGCATATTAATTGTTTTCAAATGACGTGTTTTGGGAAGTGCATTTGAGCTCAGATGTTGTATCCATGGGCAAGACATTGAAACCACTCTTTTTATCTGTAGTAACTGGCATCACTGTTCTTCACACAATGACTGTAGTGTACCATGTGTGTTTTCCTCTTCAGAGTGGATGTGGTTTCAACCCACAAGTTCACTTTTCTTCAGTTCAACTGTAATTACAAGCTGAACTTGGAAAATCGAAGTGAAAACTTTGCATAAAAAGATCAGGAGAAAGACTTTTGCTATACACCTCAAAATATTTAGCCACATAAAGATGTTGTTCTTTTCCAAAAGTGGAGTGTTTATTTTAAAACCGTTCCTTTTCCTGGAGCTAAAAGATGATATGCAGTGAGTAGTGAGGGATGGGGATAAGCCCGGGGGCGTATCTGTGTTGAGGAGGAACTTGACACTGAGCCTGATGGTGATTCTTCAGCGGCCAGCGGGGGGCAGATTCAGTTACTCAGCTCCATGTTTCAAACTTCTCTCGAGTCTGCTGTACTTATGTGATTGATTACGGTGCGCAGCTGGAGGACCAGAGGCTTTGCTGCAGAGTCATCCGTGGTGAAAGGGGGAGTAGCTCTGGCAGACCCTTTGGCAGACGCAGTCCTGGGGCACGGCCTGCCATTGCGTCGCCAACTGTCCGGACGCTGAGGTTGTGTTTCTGGGAAAGCCTCCTGTGCGCTCTTCTGTTTTTCTTTTTTGAACAGGGCCGAATCAACACATTTTTCGTTGTATGTCGACTTCAGGGAAAATAAATAACTGGACGTTAGTTGGGCTACATTGTCTGGAAGATTCTCGTGCTCCAATGCGCGCAAAAGGAGAATGAAAGATAGCTGACTCATGAAAAGTTGTTTTGTGCATTTTGTTATTCTAACAACTTTTTTGAGGGAAAATCAAAGTGGATTATTAAATTGCCATGATCTTCTGGGATTGAACTTCTAATTAGACGTTTCTGCCATGAAGGTTTTGGATCTTTACGCATCATTTTTTATCTAATCAGTTTGTGTAATAAACACTATTGAGAGGGTTGAATGTCTTTTCGTCAGAACACTTCTCATGTGTGGCGTCATCTGGATTGAATTCCTTCCAATGCGCTAAGACGCGTCAGGATTTACGGGTCTATCCCGGATCATAATTTTTTACAGTGAGTACTTGAACTACTTACAGAATGCACAGGTCCTTTGTGTTGAGTTTGATGCTTTTATATGCACTGAGCTGGACAGGGCTCACTGATAAGCCAACGCACCCTCACCGTGTTCAGCTCTCTAGACGAGCGAGACAAGGACGTTTAGCGAGTGCCTTTAACAATAAGGAGCGTGTGACTGGGCGAGCGCGCCCCAGGTTTCCCTCTGACCCCTCAGACCAGAGCCCCAGTATAGTGGATGATGTTCAGGCTGATGAAGGGGCCCCTGTGTTTAGAAGAACGGTGCCAAGGAGCGGCATGCTCCAAGATGAGGCCAGGTCTAGAGTGGCCCGCATGCCCAGCGGAGCGGGCTCCCCAAACCTGCTGGCCAGTTTCGCTGGTAAGAACAGGGTGCTTGTGATCACTGCACCCCACGAGTCAGACGGGTATTATCGCCTGATGATGTCACTCCTCAAACCGGACGTGTATTGTGAGCTGGCGGAGCGGCACGTGCATCAAATCGTCATGTTTCATCAGGAAGGAGAGTTGGGAGGCAAAGTACGGAGGATCACAACGGAGGGCAAGGTCATAGAGGAGCCGCTGGACACTGCGCTCATCCCCAGGCTCATGAGCTTCCTCAAAATGGAGAAAGGTAAAGCATGTTTTCACTGAGTACCAGGTCCGTTTAAATCGTGGCATTTTGGGGGGAAAAGTTGAATATTTTATATTTGGGCAATTTTATTTTATTATTATTTTTTTTACAGTTCATGTAGGGCATCCAGATGGACCTTTCCTTACACTGCCTTTATTGTCTCACTACTGACTATAAGTAGCCTACTGTTCACTTATTGATTACCGTATAAAGGTTAAAGCATGAGTGATGTTAGCTCCGCCCATCTTAGATGTCCAGTCTACCCTGATTGGTTAAAGTACCCTGCATTCTGTGCCTTGCTTCGAACTTTGCTATTGCTTCTTAATGATTAAAAATATCTTTGTAATATTAGGCCTGTGTTTTTCCACAATGATTTCCACGTGTGTGTGTGTGTGTGTGTGTTTGTGTGTGTGCAGGTAAATTTGGGATGGTGCTGCTGAGGAAGACTCTGCAGGTGGAGGAGAGGTACCCATACCCTGTGAGACTGGAGGCTGTGTACGAGGTGATCGACCAGTCACCAGTGCGGAGACTGGAGAAGATGAGACAGAAAGGATTTGTCCAGAAGTGTAAAGGAGCTGGAGTCGAGGGCCAAGTGGAGCAGGGCACATTCACAGGTACAAAAGACTCAGGTTTATTGAATAGGATTTACAATAACTTCTTCTTAAATAAACACTCTTAAAACCTGTATTCACTGAGTAACACACCTGACCATTTCTAAAATGGTGTTGATTTTTGGCTTTTTTTACCAGCATATTTTTTTCTACACTAAATAATTAATTGAAAGTGAAGGCATTATAAGTATAAATTTAATCTGATATCTACAATGGTATGGGCAAGGGATTATATCTGCTTTAAAATGTGCACACTTTTATTTGTTTTGGTTGTATTTAGCTGTTGATACTCCAGAAGACAGAAAACCGCCAAGACGGAGAAAACCAACATCAACTACGACCACAACTACCGTCACCATGACAACCCCACGCCCCACCACCACAACTACCAAAGCGACTACTACTACAAGACCAACTACTACTACTACTAAAGCTACTACTACGACTACTAAAGCGACTACTACTACTACAACAAGAGCTACTACTACTACTACAACCAGACGGACCACAACTACTACAAGACGACCCACCACCACGACTACGCAGAGGACCACCAGAGCTCACACCACTGCGCTCTGGCTCCCTCTGCCCCGGACCACCTCAGACCCTGAAGAATACTACATCAGGAGAGACAGGACCAGGACTACCCCAGCAGGAGACAACCGCACAGACAACAGAGACCCTCATGGGCGTAAGCAGGTGCCATCTCTGCATAAACCAACAAGGGTCAAGCCAAACAAGAAGAAAATGCCAACAGAAAAGGTACATAGATTACGAAACCTGTATTGGCGGCACATTTGTATTAACCATCATTGTTACAGCTTGATGTAAAATTGTGGATTCAAAACAACGGCTTAATCCAATCAACTATTTCTCTCTCTTAACATAAATTACAACAACAACAACCTACCAACATGCCAGATTTCTGTTTGTGTGGTTAATGTTTAAGCCAATACTAGCATAAAATACTGAAATTATAAAAAAAAAAATATATAATAATAAAATCAGTAATATATATGTATTTTTTATTTCACAATACTTCAAGGTTATAGAATTATGTGGGTCCAATTACTATAAATGTTTACTTGATAACTTTTTACGTCACAATACGTTACAATTTGGTGTTGAATGGCAAATTACTCAACAGTATTTTCATTTAAGACATTTTTATTTTTGCAGATTAATTGTGGATAGATCACATGCCGGTCTAGTGTGGTTAGTGTAGAGATAAGAAAACTGTTCACTATTCATTTAGTTATTTATCCTGTAGTAAAACGTACATTCATAAAAGAAACCTATCTTTCAAGCTTTCTTATCTCTTCCTAGGTCTTAACCAATGAGTATGAAGACAGGTTTGAACCCAGCCGGCCAACGGACAGTGACCTTGAGGAAACTCTCTCTGAAACCAGCCCCATCAAAAGAGTCAAAGTAAAGCAAGATAAAGCTGACAAGAAGAAGAAGAGGACTGACAAGGCTGCCAAGAAATCAGAGAGGAGAGGAGGGAAGGAGGGCAAGAGTGGAGGCAAGAAAAACGGAAAGAAGCTGTCAAAGTATCCTGAAATAGATGAATATCCAAAGATGACAAAGAGACCTACGCCCCCGCCGAAGGGCTCTCTGGCCACGTTCCTGGATTACTTTGAGAACAGGAGAAGGCTGCTGGTAAGAGCGTGACATAACAGCACAGCACTTCAACCACTCGGCCTTTGGTTTATAACTCTGCAAATGTGGAAAATGTTTCGACAGATTATACATACACAAGATGAGTGAGGGATAATATATCAGTAGTGAGAGGTGAAACTATGCAGAAAATCTATGCACAACAAAGTACTGTTAACAGAAATATGATTTATGAAAGTGAAATTAACAGTTAAATGTGCATTATGTAACTTTTCTGGTAGGGTCTGTCACTGAGATGTTTCACAGTATGGCATTAAATCTATCCATGTAGGATTTATTCAAATACAGGTGATTTTATTCCTAATTAAATACCTTGAAAAACTGTGTGTGGTAGCCTCTCCATAGTTCTGACCAGGTGGTGTCATCTGCTTGTCTCCATGAAGACAGACATCTCCATAGCGATGTAGTACTATAAGTATAAGTAGTATAATTATAGGTAGCAGACCCCCCATGGGAAAAGTTACACAATGCACCTTTAAGTTGCTTGAATACAAAAGGAGAAAACATACTCTAAATTTGATAATAATTACTTCTCATCAAAAAAAAATAAATCTCATCAGTAATGTTTAGATATAATTTGTTTATATCAACACGTGTATAATTTTACATTTTAGTTGGAAAATTTTGAATTTGTTTGGTGCTTGTATCTGTGTTTGCCCTGGTTTCCCTTATCAAAAACACGTGTGATAGATGCCTAAAGGAACACGTTACCTTTCAATACTTCCTTAAGATTCACTGTAAAATGTGAAACCCAGGAAGGCAATCAACTTGATTTGTTTGTTAGACTTTCTTCTTCGAATGAAAGGTCAGGAAACATCTGGAACGGTAACAAGACTGTTCAGCTACATGTACATTTGACAACAATTAAACAAATGAATTTGGCCATGGTGCCAAAAATCTTTCTTCTCAAACTATGTCAGGCAGCCTCATTTGGGGCATCAGAGCAGCATGCTAACAGACTGTGTGTCTCTGGTCCAGCTGCTATAGATTCTTATCACAGTGGTGGTATGGGCAGGCCGGGGAGTTTGACTTGTCTTTTGCAGGTTAACGCAAAGCTGTGTCTCTGCTCCTTCAGCTCATCACAACGCCCAGTGAAGACAACAGTATGTATGTCCAACAAAGGGACGAATACCTGGAGTCTGTGTGTGAAATGGCCATCAGGAAAGTCTCAATTATCACAATCTTTGGCACTTTCACAAACTCTACCATGAAGATTGACCACTACCAGCTAGGTATGTAAAAAGTTATGTTTTGTATAATGTTGTAGAGTTATGGAGGCAAATTTAGAGACTAATAATAAAAATATAGCAAAAAGAAGGACAATATGCCAAAGAATTAACACTACAATTGTGTTAGGGCCATGATACAAGTTCAGTTTGATCAAAGTTCATGTAAATCTGGTATCCTCAGTTTATTTTTACAGGGCCCACATTACATTACTTTTTATCTATATTATAGTTGTTTCCTCATTAAAAACCTGGAGTTGTGTTTTCTTTCATTCACACATGTTTAACGCACAAACCTACACATTTAGCCTGAGTTCTTCTCTCAGCAGTCTGTTTGACCTTGTGATGTCAAGCCGTAATGCAGAACGTACTCAACTGTGTTTTAAAACTTAATGTACCTTCACTAGAAACATTTTGATGATTCCAGCCCTGGAAATGCCAATGAAGGTAAAGGGTAACTTGAAAAGTACCTATACATGACATCACAAGGTGAGGCAGAGCATTTTCAGCTTTGGGAATGCAGACAGCCTAATAATAAAGGATAACTCATACATGTGTGAATGAAACAAAACACAACTCCAGGTATGTTTTTTGATGAGGTATGAGCTCTAGTGATGAGTCATTTTTGTGTAATATGGGCCCATTAAGAGGTGACCATGTGCTGCTTCTGAAAGCTCACACTTCACAGTGATTGGGTGAATCCACCTGTCACTCACTCAGAGCAGCATGACGAATGACCAATAGGAGGACTGAGTGAGGAAAAGTGTCTCTGAGCATTAAAAAGAAAAGCATTGAATAACATTATCAGCAACAATATAAACAAATTAGCATGTTGTCAGGGGATTAGACCACAATTCAATTTTTATCATCATGTAGTCCAGTCCTTTTGAATTTGTATACACTGTGTTGGAAAAGTTATTGTAGATTGATGCTATGTAGATCTGCCTCAGAAAAAAACATTATCTTTTGGCTACTGAACAATGCAATCAAAAAAAGAAAAAAAACAACACACTCAACCTCTTTTGTCAAACTGTCATCTGCCACGTTTGTGTTCTATTCTTGTTTTATCTTCCTTTCACATCATGTCAGATGCTTTTCTCCTCCGTCTCTGGTCCAAGAAAATGTTCTAAATATACAGTGCAGTCTCACTTAGCCAAAACCACAGTCCTGATGTGGAAAGTTTACTGCAGGTAATACTAGACTCACCGACTTTGGTATAAAAGACATCTCATATAAGTCATATTTTGGACAAAAAGACTTCAGGTCTCATATAAGTAAGTGTATGCATGTAATTATCATCAAGAGGTTGTCAAAATTTTAAATTAGTTTGCTCAGTTTCTTTATTATTTAACAAAGGCATCAAATTCACTATCCTACTGTTATTACTTTCACTACAACCAATACTACTACTACTACTATTACTACTACTGCTGCTACGACTACTACTACTACTGCTATGACTACTACTACAAATACACTAGTAGTAGTAGTAGTAGTACTGAGGTTACCAAATACTTGGAAAACAATCTTTTAAATATTTTCATGTGGAGTCGCGCAGGACCTGTCTAAATACAGTAGTGTTTACACAAACTCCCACATGTATCAGAGCAGGGGGAGGGAGAAATACCAGCACTCACACTTGCACAACACGGAGACACTTCATTCTGACAGTACTGTGAATTATAAGGTTTATGGTCACTGACATATCCAACTTTATTGTGTCATCATTACCCATTGATGTTAATTCAAGTTAATTGAGTGTTGATGCTTGGAAAACAAGGACTTTAGTCTGTAAGTGGTTTTATTCAGATGGAAATATTGGAAAATGCTGTTTTAGTGAGGTCATGTGTCCCACCCTCACGTTCCAGCCCAAGGCCCAGTTTAAGTGAATGTGTACAAATAAATGATTATTCTACAGCATCCCCTCCCTCGGTTTGAGCTGACATCATAGCTTTTTGAGATGTCAGCTGCAATTTTATTGTAACTAGTTCAATTTATTCTGAGTTTTGTGATGGATAGTGGCCGCTTCAAAAGAGTTAAACAGAGTATAAATAACACTGAAATACTTACAGTTACACAGCTGTTAACATCATGTTAGATCTTCATCACTCTCCAAATCATTTTGGTAACCACTAAAAAGGCTGCACTGTGGCTTACACTCACAGCAAGAAGGCCCCTGGTTTATTCTCTCTGTTTCCTATTTACAGTCAGAAAAGTCTTAAACAAACATGTCAAAAGAAAATACACCCCAGAAATTCATCTGAATGTTACATGTTAGCAGCTCTTTATTTATTTTCAAGTGAGGGTTTTAGAATCAGCATGCAATGTCAGCCTTCTAAAGCGATGTGAGTGCTAGTTGTAGAAACAATCTTGTATTTCAAATGGTTGAATACAAGCACTAAATAGACAAAATTAAAGAAAGGGTTTATTATAGTTATATAATATTTAATTATAGGTTGTGTTGTTACACCCGAGTGGTCCAAGTTCAAGCAGAAAATGTGTTAATGTTCCTTCCCATTTCATTTGTATATTTTTCAGACAATGACAAACCGATGAAAGGCCTGCGTCAGGAGGACCTGGTGAACCAGGAGCTGATCACTGAGCTGAGGAGAGAGTTCAGCATGATGTACGAGGACTTCTACATGATCCTCACTGACACTGACATGAGAGTCAAGGTACAACATTTACACTACATTTACTAGGTACAGTGCAAGCAATAATGTCTAGATAAGTCAAAATATCTCTTGAATTCATTTTGTTTTGACAAGTTTTTACTTGATAGACCTAAATTGTTATAAATTGTAAATTATTAGTGCTTGTTTCATTACATTACTTCTTATTACAAGTCAGTTTATTTAAGAAAATTGCAAACTTACTTTCTTTATTCAAGCTGAACTGTTTGTTAACCAATCAGAAATGTCTTCAAATCCAGTGAAACTCAATGAGTCAAAACTACTCAAATCCAGATTATTGCTCTGTCACAAGTCATTTAAAGGTTCACTTTGTCACTTTTCTGGTCCACCACTTGCTTGTCTCTTGCCTGGAATGTCCCACTTTATGGCAGTAAGATTATCCATGCATGGAGACAAACAGGGATGCCCTCAGGCCAAGATACAGGTCAGATCTTTGGAGGGGCAACCCCACTCAAAAGAAGAATGCATGTATTTAAAAAATATCCTTTAAAGGACCCATATTAAACTATTCTCTGATCCATGTTATAAAGTTGTTTCCTTGTCAAAAACAAGGAAACAATAGAAAATACTCACACTGTTTCAGCTTGTGATGGTATGTGGTAATACAGGAAGTGCTCCATTGTTTTACCATACACCTTCACTAGAATCATTTGGATGATTTCAGCGATGCAAATTGTCAATCTCTGCTGAGCAAACAGTTAAAGGTAACTGTTAACTTAAACTATAGCTTCATGACATCTCAAGGTGGAACAGAGCATTTAGAGCTTTGGAGCTGTAATAATATGATGAGTAATAATAAAGGATTACTCAAACATGGGTGAATGAAACAAAACACAACTGCAGGTATGTTTTGATGCAGTAACAGCATTATAACATGGCTTAAATCTCACACCAATCTATGCTGTGTAATATAGGGCCTTTAACAATAATAACACCTCTAATTTGATAAAATCACATGCTGCACCTCCATGTTCTTCGTATCCTAATGTTGTTATGAGACATGATTATAGCAGCACTAAAACTACCTGATGATACATCTCACTTCATTGGCAGTGGACAGTAGATGAGACACCACACTATAAATGTGGTACAATTACAGAGTCCAAATACTTTCCCTGTTTAATGTTTGACTTGTCTGGACAGCTATTTAAAGGCCGACCAACTACCTGCCACTTTTATCCCATGTGGGTGCCTTGATGAAAACAACGATTCACTTCAACAGGAGATTGGCCAAACAGCTGAGTGTGTGTGTGCCAGAGTAAACCAGAGAGCTGTTCTGGGGCAGATTTGTTAAAGAGCTCACTGTTCATGTCTTGCTGACTGTGGTAAACTTGGAGTTATGGCTACAACATCCAACTATATGTAATCAATTATTTTAGTTGCGTAAAGGGAAATTGTTGCTTTTACTGTTAGTATTTTTGGTTCAAGGTGGTTTGGAGTTAGCAGCCTTGTCCAACCATCAAAGGGTAACTTGTGAAGTATGAAACAGCAAGTGCTATTGAACCATAGACTGTATAAGGAAGTGGACTAAAGGAGTGTGACGTCACCCACAGCATCCGGCTCCAGTGAAATGAAGCTCAGTATGCAGTTATAGGAATGAATTTGAAGCCGAGTTCTATATTAGCAATAGGAATTTATTAATAAAAACACCAGGATCATGTAGAGCTGGTTAATACAAACATTTTAAGACCAAAACGATGAGGCTCTTTACAGCTGTTACAGAGAGAGGGGTTACTGTTTTTCAGTGTAAAGTAATTTGGAGCCTGAAGTTGGTAGAGCCGGAAGAGCCCCCATGAACACTTCCTATTTGGAACACGGCTGCCAACGGGTTAACTGTGTCCTTTTATCTATACAGTTTATGTAGAGACTTGGGAAATATACATGTGTACCAATACATGTACGTAACTAGAGCTTGTTTATTTCTGTGTACATGATTCTCAGAAGTACAAAACATGGCTTGAGTATAGAGACTGGGCTTTGAAATTGGATTTGTGCTTGCGGTGTTATCAAAAATACAGCAAAACAAATGAAAGACATGCTCAAAATCCTATCTGTTACAGCACTGCCCAAATATTTCACAGCCTTTGAGCAAAATCCAGATTTCTCCACCGTCATATTGATGTGATTCTGCGGCAGCACAATTCAAATCAACATGGGCCGTGTAACTAGAATAAGATGTGTTTTTTTCCCCCAGCAAACCTATGAAGTCCCTATTGCTATGAAGGCTGTGTTCAGTTACATTGACACATTCTCGACTCGGATCAGAGAGATGGAGCAGCAGAAGAGAGACGGAGTGGCCTGTAAGAAAGAGGACAAACCCCGTTCACTGGAGAACTTCCTCTCCAGGTATGTGCACTAAACATGTGAATTTTAAAACAAAGTGGAGACAAATTGGTCACATCTAGTAGATTTATTAAAAAATAAAAAAATAAAAAAGTGAAATGTTTCAAATCACCACACGACTTGTTCACTAACATAAACCATGATGGAAAACAAGAGCAGCTTAAAAAAGTCACAACAAATGAAGACTTTTTGGGTTTATTGAGTTGTTACTATTTGCTGAAACTGCACTTTATTTTTTTGTTTATCTCTTACTATTGGTCAGTGACTGTCTCTGTTTGTCCTTTCTTAAAACAACAACAACAACAACACTCACACAATCACACAAAAACACTAATTTATAATGAATGTATATGGCCCAGTTTGAAAATATCAACAAACACCTTGATGAAATGTTTTTTTTTTAAATCTCACTCAGTCACTTTGGGTGGTCCCATTAGGTTCAATCTGTTTATATCAAGCATCTGTTCCTTGTCTTAGTAATCAACAAACCACAACTCAGTATGTTTTGGCAGATTTGAGAAACTTTCGACTGTTCTGTCTATAGATATTGTGCACACCCCAAACCCAGCTCCTAAAGGCTAAATCGCTGCAGCCACATAGTTTCCCTGAGACGCCTGAACCTCTGTTACCATGGAGATCAGAATTCCAGCCCCTGATCTCAGTTCGCAGATGTAGCACGTTTTTGACCATAATTCGGGGTTGTCATCTCTTGGCAGTAATAGTATGGGAACATGTTAGCGTGCAATCACTAAAGTGCTGGTCTGTGGAGAGAGCTGCTTTCACTGCAGTCTCCGAAAGTGCAGTTTAAAAAAGCCAGGCTGAAATTTGGTCTGATTGAAGGTTCCGCTGGAGACGCCGACTCTTCATCATCTCGGCCCCCAGCGATGAAGAGTGGTCCTACCAGCAGCAGCTGTACGCTCTGTCCAGCCAGGCCTGTAATCTGGGTGAGTCCTATCAAATGCACCAATAATATCAGGTATTAGCTCTGACACACTATACATGGAGACAGGGTTAAAAGTTGGACTTTTTCACTGAGCATAAGTAATAGCCTACTGTGGAACCATTTTCATGTCAGAAAATGAATATTTATTAGAAATGATATAATATGATTCTACATTTTCATTTCATAACAGGGTTTAGTGCACTATTATTAAATGGACTAAACTTTTTAAAATCAGAACATTCTCAAATAGTTGTCTGCAATATTTCATTTGATACTTTTTGCCTTAGCCTGTGTTTTCCCTAGTCCAGTTTGATTTGTGTAATTAAACTTGGCTAATAGTAGTATATTGTTATAATTCACTTAAAAAGACAATAGTGTGCTTTATCCTTTTGAGTCAGTTTGGTGAGCTCCTTCTCCTCATGTCTGTTTCTTTTGGCTGCCCTGCTGCTTCTCCTGCTGCTGCTGCTGCTGCTGCTGACTGGGCTGAAGACTTGAGATGTTTGATGTCATTATTCATCACTTGGCTTCATAAGAAAAGCATAAGCTCTTGTGTGTTTAAAGTGGGTTTTCTCACCTCAGAGGAAACAGCTTGTTGGATGGATTTGTTGGACCTCCAAGTTCTGCCTGCTTTACCTAGAAACCAGTGCTAAGAGGGATTCAATAATAAACACTGGAATGCAATAACTTTAAGAAAAGCACAAGTGGATAGGTAACAAGGAGTCAGCATTTTCTTATTCCTGTGGGGTTACTTTTAAATACTCATTGGATGGTGAATGTCATGTAGGATTGCAAAATATATCAGTAGTATATAAACACAGAGATTTAGAATTTAGATAATTGTATAGTTTAATATGAAACAATGCAAAATAATAGACACAAGGGTGAATCAGCATGCATTATCTGCAAGCAAGCTAGTTTTAGATCCTTACCTTACTTTATAGTATTTTCTTTACTTCCAATATTTAACCAAGAAATAGTGATTATATATTGCATGTATTGACCTGCTTGACTTGATTTGCTTCTGAATTAGTTTTTATATGAGTTTAGAGTTTTTATATAATCTGTATTGAAATATATTTACAATAAAACCTGATTCATACAGTATACATCATATGTTATAATATTGTGATTACTCCAGGTTTGAGGCACATCGCCATCCTGAAGCTGGTTGGAACAGAGGCTCTGGACATGGGTGGAGTTTTGGAGCTCTATCCTATCAATGGTGAGTAGAACTTCCTCATATAGCAATGTGTATGTGAGTGCAGGTGAGGCATGTCTATGGTAAACACAGAGCCGCTTAGTCAAACATAGCACCTCTATTTCTGCAAACACTGGCGTCTTTTACTCAGACTTTCCCTCCTCACTTATATGTAGAAGCCCACCTTTAAAACAGCTTAATTTTTCTACATTTCTACCGTATGGAAGCTTCATTAATTGAGAAGTCAGTTTTTGTCTAACTTCAATGGGTTATTATTATTTTTTTAATCTAAGCTTATTTATGAATATAACATTTACATTTTACCTAGGGTAGAAGTAAATTGTAAATGCCCTAACGAAATTTACAACATGGACCTATAATAAGGGATTCTGAAGTGAACCTGGTGTAAAAGAAAGCACTGAAAGGAGCATTTAATGATCTCAGAAAAAAAATCTAGCTCCACTTAAATAGGGTTATAGTGCTAAGCTAGTGTGACTCAAGGCCAGCATTTAAAAGTCATGTAAAAGCCAGACTGTCTAATGGGAAGAACATAAAGTGCATTTCTGCCTTTTGTCCAGGCACAGCCACAGTGGAGCGTGAGAGCCTGTCAGGCACTCTAGTGAAAGACATGAGGAACTATTTCCAGATCAGCCCTGAGTACTTTTCTATGCTCTTGGTGGGAAAGGACGGCAATGTAAAGTCATGGTACCCCTCGCCCATGTGGTCTATGGCCATCATCTATGACCTGGTGGATTCTATGCAGTTGCGCAGACAGGAAATGGCCATCCAGCAGTCTTTGGGCATGCGCTGCCCAGAGGATGAGTATGGAGGGTACGGATACCACCAGCATGGATATGAACACGGATACCAGGATGGATACCACCAGGGCTATGGCTACAAATAGACTATATATATTTTTGTAATGTACCAATGATGAACTTAATGATCTGAAAGTACTTTTCAAGCCAACAGTTTTTTTTTATATTGAGATCAACATTTCTGGATGGTTTATGAAGGTTTTGTAGCACTTAGTGGAGGCCAAGAATGCAGCTTTCACCTCTCAGTTTACAACATAATGCAGTAATTGACAGATGGCTTGGAAGCATCACGAGAGGGCATGTTCATTGAGTGCTCTTCTTTATACATGGTTTTATTACCTTTGTTTATCATGTCATATTTTCAGTCAAACTCTATTGTAGAATTGAAGTAATGAAATATTATATTTGCTGATGCATTATAAAAAGGCACAGATCACTCAGAAAAGACTATGGATTTTTCAATGTTGTAAAATGTGTTTTTCTATATAGTCTTTTATTTATACTGTATATTGTATTATATGACAAATAAAAAGTGGTTACTTTGTCTTGCCTTAGTAATTGTTTGTGTTGCCTTGGTAATTGTTATTTGCACACGGTAGAACTACAAAAGGGAATAATGGAGCTGACGGCCTTGAGAACTGCACATAATTTAGGATACATCTCCCCCTAGTGGATAGTAAAATAATAATTAAAAAAAAAAATATGACAAAAACCTCTATTTACAGGTATCCAAAAAACTAGCAGCGGTTTATTTTTATTTTGTTTATAGTTGCATACACAATATGAACTATTATTATGTAACATTACCATAATTAATACATTGCACAAAACAGTATGAGAGACTCATTATTATAATAATACTTAAATACTTTTCTCACATTGTGCTTTTGAATTTAAATGGTTGCTAAGCTGCTCTATACATTCCTTTATTTAGTGGTATAGCAAAAACAGCATTTCTTGACAGGCACAATTGTAAAAATCCTTAGAAAACAAAAAGTGCAAAAAAAGTCACTGGTATTCACCCATAATCCATAAGTATAATTAATCCCTGTAGTTCTTCTTTCCAAAGCTTTAAGAAATACATTGTGCTACAAGGAGTCATCTTCTGTTTCACTGTCTGTGTTGGGTTTGGTTAACAGCTCCAACTCCTCTCCATCCTGTGAATGTAAGGGAAAAAGTAAAAACACGACGTCAAATCTCTTTTCAACATCAGACTGACTTGATCTAATCCTCTAATTAAGTTTCACAGTAGTAAACCAATAGTCGATCTCTTGCAAATAAAACTAATTAGTTTAGAGGAAAGTGATAATCAAATTTAGTACATAAAGGAAATGGTATGTGGTAGGAGACTATATAGTATGCAGGCAAAAATGTCATTTCTGCTACCATATATCAGAACTTGCATATTGTTTTTCAGAAGTTTGTGCCTTGCCTTTTTTTGAATGAGACCAGATGGGACTGGCTGGCATTTCCCAGTAGAATTTCCCTACCTTAATTATTGAACCACTGTCATCTCCAATACAGCGGTCATTTTCAAGTCACCATAATTTGGCCATGGTACAAACCACTCAAACTGTAAATTCTGCTTATTCATTTTGGGAACTTTACATTTTACACTTTGAAGACAAAACGTTTCACTTGCTCCCATTTAAATACAGTAAGCCAGAATTTCTTTTTTTCAGTGTTCATAAGTGTGCCTTATAGACACTTTAATATACTCTGTCATAGGAATGTTTACAAATTCAGAATGGCAGAATGGCATAAGTGAAGTAGACATTATCTATTATTAACTCACATAAAAACTAAATGCTGATGATTTTGGTATTTAAGAATGGCTTAAAATTTTCAATATTAAAATTGCAATTAGATTGCTTCTCTGAAAAGAAGGGATATATACTTGTTATGGCCCCAGCTCTTCCCTTTTTGTCATTAATGTGTTAAATTTTGATATGTGGTTGAATCCTGTCCCCTTTTCTCATGTATTCCTGGCTGTGTGAACTCTGGATTGGAGGACTGTTTTCCTATTTCCTGGTTGGCTACTCTTCACTGGCCCCTGATTTTCAGTTGTCTCGATTTGGTCTGTAGGTTAATGTAACTCGTGTTTATTTTGGGACACTCGTAGTTTGGTGTTTGTGTCATGTGTCCCTTTTGTCCCTTGTTTTTATAGACCTATGTGAGATTTTTTTTCTGAGATCCAAAACTTGGTTTATTATTTGTTAATTATGTTATTTTGGTGTGTTAGTTTAGATTAGTTTGGTTATACATTTTTATATATAGTTTAGACCACTGTAGTTAATTTACCATTTACTTTCCTATTAATTAAATTAGTACTTTAATTTACCTTTCAACATCTACTGTTTCTGTTACTTCACCTAAGCCTAATTGTAATGTACTGGTTGTTTTTTAACCTGTAGTTGTATTTTAGCCTCAGAAGAAAAAAACAAACAAACAAACAAACAAAAAAACAGGAGGTCAACATTTCGGTTAATTAGCCAATATCCTACAGCAAACATGTTAAGTGTGTATAAGATCTAAAATGACAAATACATTTGCTAATGATTTCTAAGCAAATGCTGATATTACTTATGTAGCTGAGTAGTCAATTGCCAAAACCACCTTGATTATAATACAAAGTTCTCCATTGAAATTGCACTGTGATCTGTTTTATTTTCACACCAAGAATTCAGAATGTGTGTTTTAAAGTACATGTTATTGTATCTTGTTTTTTCCTTACCCCTCTAGACCTCTCAAACACCTCTCCATTAATGACTCGGAGCCTTTCCTTTTGAAGAGTGTATTCGAGGTCTTTGGGCCGACTGGCATTGTAGATAAATATAGCTAGAAGGACCATGGGAGCCTGAAGGAAGAAGTCCAATGAAGGTCGGAAATCAAAGAGAAACAGGGAGAGGGCTGTGACCAGGACAGTGGTGATCTGGCCTGTCAGCACATGGAACATGTTGTCCCGAAATTTCAGAATAAAGGCCACAGATAAACCAAGGGCAGCTAAAAAGAATGCAAAAAACAAACAACCATGAGCATTTGTTAAAGATGTATAAACATAATGTAAATGCATTTTGAATTTAAAATGTAGTTCTATTATTACTGACCAGTGACCAGCACCAGGCCCAAGGAGAAAATGTTGTGTCCATGAAGGAGGCCACAGTGAATAGTTATCCCTCGTGCCTCACTCCCAAGTCCAAGTGTTAAACCATTGAAAATAAGCCCAAAAATATAACTACAAAACAGATATAGCCCCATGAGAGAAAGACAACTTCAAATTATAAATTAGTAGTGGGTTATTTTCCTACAGTTTACTGTTTTGAATAAAGATGCTCTCTGTGAGCTGGTCCCCTTCCTTCAGGATCTTTTCGTTGTAGATGTTGGCCATAGCAGAGATGAAGCACTGAAGAATGAGCAAGATATGACCCACTCCAAAAGTCCGCAGCTTCTCTACCATTTTGTTCCTCCACTCCTGAGCAGGCAGCACTGACGCCCACGACTCACTGGCACTTAGAAAAAAGTAAAAATTATCATTAATGAGCACAATAGCATCGCTCAAAGTCTGTTCAGGTAGGAGCCATTATTACAAATATCACTTTACACTGCATCTGAATACCTTTACATTGATGCTGACCCACAAATCATGATTTTTACATTCAGAGACTATTATTATTTCCTGTATGTAGAAGTGCTGAATGTCTTCTGCCAGTTGTGCAACATGAAAGATCAAAAGCTGCTGTACTTTATACTAGTACAAATTGCTCACATGTAATAAAATAAAAATTACATAATTATAGTCTAGATTACCTGCTGTTCCTCATTTGCTCCAAGAGCTGAGTGTAGAGGAGACAGGAGTTGGAGGGAGAGGAGAGGGGGTTTGCGTGAATCGTACCAGGAACAGAGATGGGATGCTGGTTACCCCCAGAACCTGTTGTCAAGGAAACAATGGCAAGAAACAAAATAACGAGAGATGCCCACTGGACCCAGGACAATCGTCTCCTGAAAATAAAAACGTTGTGTGAGGTAATTTATTATGTAGTACTTTAGTAATGTTAAGATAATGTTTATTTTTTAACAAGGAATAAAAAGTGTTGCTTACTTCAAAACAATTCTAAATAGTACAGCTGTCGTCAGGATTACAAAGTTGGAGAACAAAACTGCCATAGCCTAAAAAGAAATAATATGTTATACTATGTTATTAAGAGTAAGGTAAATAAGAACATTATTTAAATACCCACAGGCTGCAGATATGTCATCACATAAAAAATGATAATGTTGTCAAGAAAATATAGAAAGGCAGGAATGGCCCATTTAAATGAAAGAAGGAGCGAGGTAGTTGAAGAAAATCCCAGTTCACTGCATGACCGTCCCTCTGAAAGGAAAAAAAACAAACCTATGTTAATACACAGAATTACCCATTATACATGTGTGCTCAGAACTGTACTGTACCTCGGACTATGACCCGTACAGACATGACTAGACAGAAGATCAGCTTGAGTGCTTCAGCGAGGAGATTAACGGAGGCAGGGTGGAAGTCATACTTGTTATCTGACATAAAATATTAGATTAGATTAGGATATTGGTATAGATACTTAGTGACTTTGTTAAGCATATGTTTCTCACCAGCATTGGCAGAGAACTTGAGCAGCAGGATGCGACTGGTCCCCAAAGTCACAAAGCAAAGCCCCAGAGCCAAAGTGTAGACTGAGGAGCGAGAGCATAGCCTCCTGCAACATGCCATTGCTCACACTGAAATAACAACACATAACGCAATTAGACTATGTAAGGTGGTGTCTTCATGATGGTAATAGCGTGAATACAGAGCCATATATATAGAAAGAAGCAGAAACTCTTTAATTAGTAATATCTTCTTCTCCAGGGAAGATACAGACAACAATAACAGTCACACGTCACCATTGTTCCTCTCTGTATGATCTGCATTAAAGCACATTATCATTTCTATGAGGACAGTCTTTAACACAATTCAGAACAAAGACAACGACGAGTACGATGTGCCAGAGCAGCGGGACCATAATGTTAACACATAATGTAAACCTAAATGTTAGCACATAATGCATCTCTGCCATCTGTTCCTGTAAAACCAATTATGAACTAATCTGATCAAAAATACTCATAGGCATACGTTAAAATATGAATAAATTATCACAACGAAACAATCGGAAACCATACCTTTTATTCTATCCGTGCCCAGTACATAATTAAAGACAGAATATCACATAAATCGTTGATTTTAGAGAGATCTGATCACATCCACAGCGAACTACGGCTCTTCCGCGTTGCTCTGCGCATGCGCACAAAACGCTTTCAGGTAAAGGGGAGGGGGGGACGCTGAAAAATATAGATTGTTTAGAAGAAAAATGTCGATTCGAGAGTTATAAAATGCCTCGCTAAAGGTAAATGGTCAAATGCTACTTAATTATGGAGACTAGATTGAATCCTGTCTAACTAACTTTGTTTATGGAGAATAGATTGAATCCTGTCTAACTAACTGTTTACCCTAGTTACCCTAATCAATTTGTTTAGTCAATAGACTGTATAAATGGTTTAACCTAATGAATTACCTTACTAAAAAGGCTTTACTGAGATTGAATTAATCTTGAATGTTCATAACTGAAGATTTGAGTATAATCTGGGGAAATAATTTATGACAAGGGATAACTAGGGAGCTTGACTTTTCTGAAGAGATAACTTGATCAGCATGATTACATTAACCTAACCCCCTGTGAAGATTTCACTTTGTAAATTGTGTTTAAATTAAATTTAAGTGGTAACTTTTCCACCTCCTCAAACCACTGATTGTGCCCTTTGACCTATTGACACACACTGATACTATATATTATATTATTTATATATATATTTATATATATATTTATATATATACACACACACGCACACACACACACATATACAGTCTATCATTTTGTTTTGGGAATTGTTCTTTTGCTCAATGCAAAAAAAAAAATACTACAGTTGACATCTCTTTTTTCTGCTGCAGTTAGAGGTACAACAGTGATTTGTATTTTTACTTTTTTTTATTATTTATGAATTAATGGATTAAGTAATTAGTTTTTATTTATTTATTTTGCTTTACTATCCTGCCTTTTTTGTATTCAAAATGTGACACACACACACACACACACACACACACTCACACTCAAATGTGACTCAGATTGAAACACACACGTTTCCAATTAAAGAGGGACCAGAGAAAACAGACAGTGACATGGTTCATTGGCCAGGGACATAATGTTTACAATGCGCATGTGTGCTTTGTGCCACTGACATATAAAGAGCACACTGCAAACTTCACTAGGACAGACAACATCTTGGAACCTAAAGAACCCACTGGATTTTGATTGAAGGACTGTTCAATATGAGGCTACGTGGAGACCTGTGTCTCCAGGTACTGGTCTTAACTACTGTGCTGTGTGTAAAAGCAGAGCAGCGCCAACCCAAGGAGAGACGATATTATATTGCTGCCGTGGAAATAGATTGGAATTATTCTGGAACAAAGGGGTATGATTATTTCTATTTCTATCATCATCTTCTAAATGTGTCTCAGTACCTTGATTTGAACATAGGAAAAATATCTTGCTGTATCTATCTTGTTATTCACGTTTTATATTTTTCGACTCTTTTGCTCAGGCTTGGTCAGACATATAAAAAAGTGGTGTTTCGAGAGTATGAGGAAGGCTTCACACGGGCTAAGGCACATCCCTCTTGGTTAGGTAAATGCACCAACAAGCTGTCTGTTGCTGTTTTTATTAAAATAAACATATTCTCACTGCTGTGACATGCAGGCCAAATATAGACATGTTTTTCATATTTTTTATTTAAAAAGTATTTATATAATAGTACATACATAGCCACTTGACAAAGAAAGCCTCTGCCAGGGTGCTTTTTGAGCTTCTTCAATGATAAATGGATAAATTGCTGTCTGTTTTTTTTTTTTTATTTAATCAAATGCCATGCCACTTTAGAGGAAAAACTAAACTAGTTGGCAACTAATGTCCAGTTTATCTGTATTTTTCCTGTATTTGCATTGTTGTTCCAAAGAAATTTGCTGTGTAAACAGCACGAACATTTCTTTCTGTACAGTACATACTAAACCATCTTTTCTTCAAAGAACAAAAACAAAAACATCTCAAACCACAAAACTGAATCAGAATGAACTGACATCACTTTTGCCAGTCTTGACGTCTTAAAATAAGTTTGTGTCTGTGTCCAGGTTTAATGGGGCCAACTCTGAGGGCTCAGGAAGGCGAAACACTTGTCGTCACTTTCAGGAACATGGCAAATGGAGAATATAGCATCCACCCACATGGAATTGCTTATGGGAAGCAGTCTGAAGGTGGGTCCAGATGGAGATTCAGAGACAGCTGTGGTCAACAGACACACACTCAATAAGTTACAATGAGTTCTCATGCTGTTTCGTTCAGTGTTAAGCAACTAAACAAATACAATTGTTTGTCTTTTTCTGAAATATTAACCCGAACACTCAGATTATCAAAGTAGTTGGTTCTGAAGTCCAACAGTTGGCTTCAGGAAATGACTGCATCATCACGTACAACAAGACACTAATGCTGTAGGAAATTGAAACTTAGGAAATCTAATTAAAAGAGCAGTATAAAAACAAGTTTACAGGAAACATGAAGGAACATTATGTTTTAAGACCACAGTAAATTTTAAACCAGCCAGGAAGGGCATCTGATTGTGATTTTCTTTATTATTAGTAGTAGTATTTTGTCCTGTATTCATTTCCTGGCCATAAACAAGATAGACTTGTAATAATTGCCAGGAAAAAAGTCAAAATTGTTCTTTCTAATTCTGAACTCTGCTTCAAATCACATCCTGTTACTGACAGAGCAAACAAAAGTCTGTAGAGCTCTCCATTAAAAAGACACAAACTGATCATTGAAGATTAGCAATGATCTCAGTTAAAATTGTACTTGGAAGAATGTAATTACACTAAGTTGTCACAAAAACTGTGTTTTGCAGGAGCTTACTACTTTGACAACACTTCCCAAAAAGAGAAAGGGGATGATATCATCAGGGCTAATGAAGAACATGTCTACTACTGGGAGGTGACTCCAGAGGTGTCCCCTCAGAGGAATGATCCGTCTTGCCTCACCTACTCCTACGTTTCCCACAGGAATGTAGTAGAGGACCTCAACTCAGGCCTCATTGGGGCACTGCTTGTCTGCAAATCTGGTAAGACCAGTATCTGGTAAGACCATATCATTTGAGCTGGACATTAGAGGAAATAGACAAAAAGACAAAGTATCTGTGTGTTAATATTAAATCTGTTATTATTATTCATAGGTACTTTGGATGCATCAGGACAGCAGACTAGGATCCACCATGAATTGATATTTCTTTTTGGGGTTTTTAATGAAAAAGAGAGCAAATATAAGCCCAAACAAAATGCTGATGATGACCATATCAAGTACACAATAAATGGATACACAGATGGGACATTGCCTGGTAAGTTACAGTTAATATACAGTATTATATACATTATTATTATTTGTGAATTATGTACGCATTACTGCATATATTTCCTGTAAAAATCTTTATGATTGGCAAACACATAGCCAGTGACATCTATAGATGCAACAGGATCTGGAGAGTAGAATTAGTTATGCTATAAGTTTGGCGATGTATTGATTCTTCTAATCCTTTACTCATTTCTTTTCAGATGTGAATATTTGTGCCCATGCCACTGTTAGCTTGCATTTCCTAGGCATGAGCTCTGATCCTGAGGTGTTCTCAGTGCACATGAATGGACAGGTGCTGCTGCAGGACGGTCACAAAGTCTCCTCTGTGGGCCTCATCAGTGGGACCTCTGCCACTGCTAGCATGGTTGCAGTTCACCCCGGGCGCTGGCTCCTGTCCTCACATATCATAAAGCACATGGAAGGTAAGGTGCAAAATCTGCTAGTATTGGTCTGTAACTTGGATTTATATATCTCAATGGAATTAATTTATTTTGTTTGCGTGTTTCATCTCTCAATCTCCCCTTCTGCAGCTGGCATGCATGCTTTTGTTGAGGTGAAGAAATGTGCAGAGTTTGATGCACCTAAGAGAACGATCACTTATGCTCAAAAACTTCAGAGCTCAGTGTGGACATATTACATCGCTGCTGAAGAAGTCATTTGGGACTACGCACCCAACATGCCAGACTATGCTGATGAGTAGGTTTTGCAATCTTAATTTTTGTACAGATAACTGCTGTTGATTTCTATGTGAGCTGAAATGTGCTGACTAATGTTGTTTCCCCAAGAAATTTCCAGTTGAAGTATCTGACAAATTCTGAAGTACGTATTGGCCAAAAGTACAAGAAGGCAGTATTCACGCTGTATAAAAATGAGTCATTCACTGAAAAGTCAGAAACTAAGCAACGAAGAAATGAACTTGGAATTTTGGGGCCAGTTATAAGAGCTCAAATCAGGGATGTTGTCAAGGTATGTTTTTAATATGCATTCATTGTCACTAGTTGACAGTATCTCCTAACTTGAAAATATCTTCTGTCATATTAATTTTCATTTCAGATTGTCTTTAAGAATATGGCGTCAAGGCCTTACAGCATATACCCACATGGACTAACCATAGAAAAGTCACAGGAAGGAGTCAACTATCCAGCAGGAGGTAATTCACTTTTATCAAATGTATGTACAATGTAGTATTAATTTAATGAAAGACATTACATAATTTCATAATTAAATCTATACTCTGTACTACATTTTAGAGAAGTGCTAATTACAGATGTCACTGTTGTTTGGTCATGTAAATATTTGTATATAAGATAAGATAAACCTTTATTTATATACAATGAGGAAATTACAGAGTTAAAACACAATGCTCATGGACAGAAGGATAAGAATGAGAAACAATCAAGATAAATAACTAAAAAAAACCTTAAATAAATAAAATCTTCAAAGCTATTGTTTTCAATACATTGTTTATTATTGTTACATATTTTTATATTTTGTTATTATTATGCTAATTTATATATGTAAATGCCCCATAAATGACAGTGATTCCAGGAAGAATAGCTGTACTTCCACAGCTAATGGAGTTCAAAATAAATAAAAATAAAAATAAAAATACAAGTAAAAATACAAATACAAATATGTGGCAATGATTATGGCTTTGTATCATAAAAATGCTGTGTTTCTCTTCATAATAATCCTATCACTCCAGTTTGTTAACATGGTGTTGCTATAGGTAACCAGTCTCATGGAGTGCAGCCTGGGGAGACACATACATACCTGTGGCATGTGATTGAGCAGGACGAGCCATTGGACACAGACTCACGCTGTCTCACTCGGGTGTATCACAGTGCAGTGGACACTCCCCGGGACATCGCATCGGGGCTCATAGGGCCAATTCTCATCTGTAAAAGTCAGTCGCTTAATGTCAGGAATGTACAGGTAATACTACTATATGCCTTTTAGGTTGCAGTCATAATTAATTTAAACGTGTTAGAATAAGTTGGACTCTTCTTTTGGGATTGCCACTTTCACACATCTCTTTTTTATGGTAATTTGCATATTAATTTTGCAAATTGTTGAATAACTGAATAGAATTGTAGGATTTGAATAGAACTGTAGGAAATCAGGGAAAGGACTTATCTTATCCTGTTTCCTACAGTACAATATGTTTTGCTATTTACATAAGGTTTAATGCTTGCAAACACAGAGAGGGCATAAGTCAGTGTACTCTTTTTTTTTTTTTTTTTCAGAATCCCAGTTCAGGGAAATAGAAAGATTTGCATTATCCAAAAAAAAAAAAAAAAAAAAACATTGATTGAATTTTTAAAGTAGCATTTTTGACTTCTTAGCTCAAGGCAGACAAGGAGCAGCATGCCGTCTTTGCCGTGTTTGACGAAAACAAAAGCTGGTACCTGGATGACAACATAAAGGCATACTGTGACCAGTCCAGGGTCAATAAAGTCGATTCTGAGTTCTACAAGTCTAATGTCATGCACAGTGAGTTTCTAATAATTTAATATACTGTATTAGCATCACAGGCCAAACAGTTATATTGTATATTTTTATTTCAGCTATCAATGGGTACACATTTGAGAGTGGGCCAGACCTAGGTTTCTGTAATGGTGAAGTTGCTACATGGCATGTGTCAAGTATTGGAGCCCAGGATTTTATTCAGACTGCAACATTCTATGGACATCCTTTTGAGCTGAATGATCACACCGAGGACATACTCAGTCTTTACCCCATGACAGGAGAAACCATCAATATGAACATGGACAACATTGGTAAGAGGTTTTATTTTTATAGTTCTTATGGTAGAAGCTGAACTGGTGTGCAATGTTTGTGGATTCAGTCGTCGTGGCTGTATTGTAGGTTATCCCATATCATCCAAATGTGTGAACATCTAGTAGTGACCTTCAATATTTATTTATTTATTTATTTCATAAAGCATAAAAAGACATCGACAGTGTCACAACATCAAACACACAAGAAATGAATGAAAAGGGGCAGAAAGAAAAAAAAATCATATGTTATCTGCCCCCCTTTCCTTTTTCAAGACAAAACATCAACACAGATGGTTACTAAACATTCCATATCAGTTCAGGCACAATTACTGATCAATTGCAAACAGTAAATCTTCATTATTATACACAACTTAGTTTTCTTTTTCATACATACACACTGCATTCGATTTTATATGTTTTTTAAATTTCATCATTGTACTTGATTCTTTTGTTTCTTTGTCAAGACTATTCCATAAGTGAACTCCTTTCACACTGACACTTCGCTCCATAACCTTGGTTCTGAATCTGGGTTTTTTAAACATGTAGGTTCCTTTTAAATTGTAGTGGTTTGTTCTCATCTCAAACAGTATTTGAATATTTACAGGTAATACATTGCACTTTGCTTTATCCATGACTTTGAGGATACTTAAGTCAACAATATCCTGCATTTTCAACACTTTAAGTTGAGTAAATATTGGGTTGGATGGCTCTCTACAATGACTGTTGGTGATAATTCTCAAGGCCCTTTTTTGTAAAATAAATAAAGGTTGTAGTAAGT